CACCCCTGACCGTTCAGGGCTTAGGACCCTCCAAGGAGCCAGTAGAACTGAGCCCAGTCAGGGTGGGGGGTGAGGGTGGTAGGAAGATTGCAGAACCCTTGTAGGTGGCCCTCGTGTTGCAGCCAGGTCACAGACATCCCAAGAGTGGCTGGGTTGGTGGGCATGGTGCAGGGCATCTTAGTGAGAACTCAGCCTCAAATGTACCCCCTTCCTCCGTGGTCTCACAGCCTACTGCTTCCTATGGGTAAGGGAGACCCCAATGTGCCACATGCCTGGAGTATAACCAGGAGAGCTGCTGGCCTCCCTGACCCATTAGGACTGTCCATGACTCATGGCTGAGTCCCAGAGAGAGGGACTGACATTGTAGCCAAGTACAGGCCCAGGAATAAAGACAGTAATGGTGGTGATGCCAAGTGAGCCCCGAGCCCTTGCAGCCCAGCCTTCCGTCAGTCCTGCACAGGGGTTATCCCTGTCTCATGGAACAGAGAGGAAGCTGTGGGGACTGAGGAGGAAGCTGACCCCTGGGCCGCTCTGGGCCCGGAGCCTCTACTCTCCCTGCCACAACTCAGGCCTCAGGAGGCCCCTGCCTTCTTTCTAGATTCAAGCCTGGGGTTTGAGATCATAGAGGGTATTAGGATGCTCCATCCTAAAACTGCCCTGCTTTAGGGAACTGCTCCTGGGTCTGGGGCCTCTTTGTGGGGTAATAGAAATGTTCTGGAATTAGTTAGTAGCAATCGTTGCACAGCCTTGTGAATATGCTAAAAACCACTGAATTGGACACTTTACGAAGGTAAATTTTATTTATTTATTTATTTATTTATTTTTTGAGACGGAGCCTCAAGCTATCCCCCTGGGTAGAGTGCCATGGCATCACACTCACAGCAACCTCCAACTCCTGGGCTCAAGTGAGTCTCCTGCCTCAGCCTCCCAAGTAGCTGGGACTACAGGCGCCCGCCACAACACCCAGCCATTTTTTGGTTGCAGCCATCATTGTTGTTTGGCGGGCCTGGGCTGGGGATTCGAACCTGCCACCTTAGGTGTATGTGGCTGGCGCCCCAGCCGATTGAGCCACAGGCGCTGAGCCAAGGTAAATTTTATGATACGTGAATTACATTTCAATAATACCAAACAAAAACAATAGAAAGCTGCCCTATTTAAATAGCTTCTATGTTCCCTGTTTTTCACCCTGAAGACAGATTGCTCTCTCTTCCCTGGGATCAGCCCAGCTTCTCCTTCCATCCTAGTCTGCCCTGCCTTGTCCCCATTCCCGCTCTTCCTTCCTCCCTCAGAAGGAACTTCTGGGTCCTCTTTCAACTCTCAGGTTCTGGTACATGAAGTTCCCTCTGCCTAATAGCTAGTTAAACACCTACTGAGTTCTTATCTGGATATAAGCGTTGATCCCATTTTACAGATGAGGAAACTGAGCCTCACAGAGATAGAGCAACTTGCCCAAGGCCATCTAGCTGGCAGGTGGTGAGTGCAACTGAGATCCAAGCCCCACAGTGGTTTTAGAACCCATGATCTGAGCCACTTTCCTTGGTGGCTTTCTGTAGTAGATTGAATAACAACCCCTCAAGATATACATACCCTAATCCCCCAGAACCTATAAATGTTACCTTATATGGCAAAGACTTTGCAGATGTGATTAAGGATCTTGAGATGGGGAGATTATCCTGGATCATTATAATCACAAATGTCCTTACAAGAGGGATACAGAGGGAGATTATAGGCAGAAGCAGAGGCATGTGATGATGGAAGCAGGGAATTTGAAGATGCTACGCTGCTGGTTGTGAACATGGAAGAAAGGCCTATAGCCAGGGAATTTAGCTCTAAAGCCGGAAAGGGCAAGGAAACCCATACTCCCCCAAGTCTCTGGAGGAAATGTGGCCCTGCAAACAGCTTGGTTTCTGCCTGTTGAAACAGATTTTGCATTTCTAGTCTGCAGAAATGTAAGAGAAAAAATGCGTGTTGTTTTAAGTTGCCAAGTTTGTAGCAACTATACAGTAGTCATAGAAAATGAAGAATAACACTTTTCTTCCTAGAGGAGCCCAGGCCCTACCTTTGTGCTCTCCCTGAACTTGGGCCTCTTTTCTTTCTTTTCTTTTTCTTTTTTTTGGCCAGGGCTAGGTTTGAACCTGCCACCTCTGGCATATGGGGCTGGCGCCCTATTCCTTTGAGCCACAGGCACTACCTTGGGCCTTTTTTCTTAATCCAGTGCCGACCTTACGAGGCTGGTATAATCCTCCAGTTTTCCAAGGGCAGGCACTTGCTCTGGGGCACAATGAAGGAGGAAACTGAGGCTTGGAGAAGGGAAGTAAATGTCTACCATCACTCAGCTTGCAAAAGGCAAAGCTGGGGACTGTGTGGCCGAGATGACCAGGGCACTGAAGCTGAAGGGCTCTTGAGAAAAGAGGCCACAGCTGCTGCCACTGCCACTGGGTATCAACTGCAGTACCTATCTGAGCCTGCACAGAATTGGACCATTCCTAGTGAGCCTGGCTTTAGGGAAACCTGATAGCAAATTCCAAACCAATAAGAGCAAATAAATGAGGGGTGATTACTGACAATAGGAGAGGATACACTGTGGGGTGCCTCCAAATGGCATCTCCTCCAGTACGTTTTAAGTGCTTTATAGGTCATTAACTACTTGACAGAGAGAGCCTGACACTTAAAGCAAAGAATTTGGTGCCTGTACCAGGGAAAATCAATCAGAAATGAAGATAGAGCATCAGTGGCGTTAAGATGTACTGGGTGGGCAAAGGGGATTCGATTTACACATAATTTTAAGGCCCTCTCCATTGTGTAAAGTGAGGCACACTGGCATTTGAGGCCATTTATAAATCCCAAATGAGAGTTTAGAAAAACTTGACTTCCCCCCTGCCATTTTTTTTTATTGTTGTTAATGAAATATTTCAAAGACATGGAAAAGCACATAGATAAGCTTAAACATCTAAGCCCACCACCTGTCTCTGTCAAATGGAACATCACAGCTATGGTTGAAGCACCCACTTTTAAAAAATGGTTACTTGTTTTTTCTTCCTGCCTTTTCAAATCCTTTCTGTCCTCTGGCTCCATCTTGTCAAGGAGACCTAAGCTGACCACCCACCCCTACCCAAGACATCCCTCCTTCCTCTGAAATCAGAGTGCAATTACTGCCTCTTTAATTAACTTGGCGATTAATCACCAGCTGCTTGTGAAACAGCTTTTATTGTCCTTGTCTATCTCAGAATGTGGGTGGGGGTGAGGACCAGGCAGGCAGGGGAAGGAGGGATGGGCAGGCAGGGCCCTCCTCAGGGCAGGGTCAGCTAGAAAGGGAAGCCAGAGAAGTCCTGTTATCCAGAGGGCAGGCTCTGTCCTGGCTCTGTTTAGGTAGACGCCAGGTACCAGAATCCACTATGGAAGCTCACAAAAGCAGCAGACAGCCAGGAGGGTAATCCACCACGGGTAGCCTTGGGGCCTCTGCTCTGCTGTTGCCCTCTAATCAGAATGTTCTTTCCCCTCCGAGCCTTGTAGAATTGTGTCTCCTCCAAAGATATGTTGAAGTCCTAACCATGGATACCTGTGCATGTGACCTGATTTGGAAATAGGGTCTTTGCAGATGTAATCAAATTAAGATAAGGTCACACTTGGATTAGTACGGGCTCCAAAGCCAGTGACCCACGGTGTCTCTATAAGAAGGCCATGTGAAGACACAGACACAGGGAGAGCTCATTTACCACGCCACCAAGCCAGCTCCTGAATCTGGCTGCCCACTGTACAGGACACCTGACCTCAGACAGTGGTTTTTTTTTTTTTTTTTCTGTTGATTAACCCTCTCCTGTCCAACTCTAGGAACAGCTCCTACACCTTCCTTTGTTAGTGGGAGCCCTCTCCACATCTTATTTCAGACACCATCTCTCAACCAAAAGGCCCACCCCGGGAGTTCCCAAGGACTCTCTCTCCCCAAGAGAATAGTATCTCTTAATGATACTTTCCCTGGATTTCCCAGGAAAATCCACCCCACAAGCCCCCAAACTGTCAGAAGTGGGCAATGTAGCCTGGTTTGAGCAGAGTGCTTCTAATTTCCCCTGTGATTTCGGGGAGGGGAGGAATTCCCAGGAAGGCAGAGGGCCCAGCAGGTTACCAGGAATTTATTAATAACATGGAGGCAGGGGCTGTCTCATTCATACTGCCACGCACAGCGCTGGGTACAGCATGTTCATTGAAATAACATCTTCTAAAATCATCTGCGCTAATCCAACACTCTCTTTTGATAGATGGGAAGTGGAGGCTCTGACACCCGCCAGGGCATTGCTGTGTAGATGGGATCTTTGGTCTGGTGATGGATGCTTGTCCCAGCATCAGCTAGGCCGTTCATTCCCAGGTTACCACATTTCTCTACACCTTGGTTTCTTTTCATCCTTGGTGGGAAACAGTAATACCATTTCCTACGGATGTTGTCAGCATTAAGGATAGTTGTAAAAAATCTGTATGCATATTTTCTATTAATTCATTCGGCTAAGGAACTAACGTTCTGAGCACCTAGGGTGTGCCAAGCCCTGGAGATACAGTAGTGAGCAGCATAAACCTCGTATCCTGACTTCAAGGTGCTATTTGGTGGAGAAAGGCAGGGAAGTGTAGTTACCACTTGGGGTGGTGCTAAGATGGGGAGCACAGAAGCAGAGAGGGAAAAGCTGCAGAGTTCAGAGGAGCCCTAGAAAGCAGCAGCCGCCTCGGGAAAGAAAAGGCAAAGAAGATAATCCGCAAGCCCCCACCCCCACGGTCTGAGCCCCTTCTTCCTCTCACCCAATCGGGCGTCAGCAATGCAGGCTGAATGACCAATCAGGAGCTAGAACCGGAGCCCAGTCGCAGGCCACGGTCTCCCCCAGGAGGGCGGCCAGAACCCACGTGCCCCGCCCCGCCCGGCCCCGGCCCCGCCCCAGACCACGCCCCTCCACGGTCAGCCTCGCCCGCTTGGAACCCGGTGGACAGCCGCCGGCCGCTGGGGCCGAGTATTGTTAAGGGCCAGAAAAAGGTACAAGGAGGTTGAGGGGGCAGCCACGTGCCCGCAAGAGGATTTACAACATTTTCCTTCGCTATCGACAATATTGCAAAATATGTGAAAGAGACGGCGTAGCCAGGACAGGAGTGTGAGGGCACCGGCAAGGTAAGCAGCCTCCGGCCGGCTTTACTGGGGACTGGGGACTGGGGACACCGGGAGAAGATCGCGGGCATCACCCGCACACTGAGCGGCAGTCGCGAAGTCTGCGTCCAGGTCCGCTCTCTAAAGGGTCTTGTGAGCGTTGGGTGGTGTGGACGCGGCCCCGCTGCTGAAGCACCTCCGGTAATCCAGAGGCTGCCTAGGCAGTGTGACCAGCGCAGGTGGTCTGGCCGAGGCAACTCCGAAATCCGAAGGTTATCAAGACTGAGCCCCACGGCTCAGTTTGGCGGTCCGGGTAACTGGCCGCTTGTGAACCTGTGGAATGACTGAGGCGTCCTCCAGCGACCAGGGGTCAGGTGAGGCTGTGTAGACACGTGCTTGTGGTCTAAGAGCCTCAGAAACGCGAGCAGGTGTAGACGCAGGCGGGTTCCAGGCGCGGAAAGTTTGCTGGAGCGCGCTGAGCCTGCTGACTTTGGGAAGGGTCTGAGCGCAGACCGAGCTGCGCCTCGGAGGGGCCAAGTGCACGCCTGCGGGTGGGGCTGGGACTCACCTGTCGCTTCTCAGCCTCCTCCCTAGGCGCCTTGGAGGAAAGCCCCAGACCCCATCCTCAGCTGCTGTAATTCGTGTACCCACTTCCTCCGGAGCTGCAGAAGCTGCAGCTGAGGTAGGAAAGGGAGCTGAGCAGGCAGTGAGAGACCGAGTCATAGAGCAGGACCAGAGGGATTAATTTTGAGTCTTTTTATTTTTTCTTTTGTGACTAGATCTTGAAATAGAGTGCAGTAGCCTCTTGATAGCTCACTGCAACCTCAAACTCCTGGACTCAAGCCATCCTCCTGCCTCAGCCTCCTGAGTAGCTGGGACCACAGGCTGGCGCTACCACACCCAGCTAATTTCTCTATTTTTTGTAGCGACATGGTCAGTCTATTGCTTATGCTTTTCTGGAACTCCTGGCCACAAGATCCTCCCGCCTCTGTCTCCAAAAGTGCTGGGGGTAACGGGAGAGCTACCACGCCCAGCCCCATTTTGAGTCTTTTAGAGCCATTCAAGCACCTGCTCTGACCCCAGCTCCATCTCACCTGTGGGGCGCGTCCTACCACATGCTGGTAATCAGAGGAGGGGACTCAAATCCCATTCTTCCTGGCTCCTTTTCTCCTTCCACCTGCCCCTTGATAAGGAGAAAGAGTACCAGGTATAAGGGGTGATACAGATGGAATCTGGTGATGGGGTGCAGGGAGGCCCAGGACTGGGACCCTCAAATCTGCTTCTCACTCCCTTTCTGTGGTTCCAAGTGGTCCCACAGCACTGAGTGAGGGAATGAATGGAGGAAGGAAAGCAGTGGCACCAGGGGTGCTGTGCCTGGGCCAGATCAAGTGGGGCAAAGTATTCATTTGATACTCTCTCTTGTGGGGAAAGGAAGACACCCTAGCCCAGTCTCTGCTCCAAGGGAAGGACTGAAGAATGCTTATTGGCTGGAGGAGATGCCCACATGTCTAGAGTGGTTCTTGGGGGAGGCTCAGCCTCATCTCCCATCACCCTCTGTGTTCTTTGCCCCACTCCCATTCCCATCCCCTTTCCCTGTGATTCTTCCTGCCATAGAGCCTTCTGCACATGTTTCTTACTTTCTCTCTCTCTCTCTTTCTTTTCTTTTTTTTGTTTTTGAGACAGGGTCTCACTGTGTCGCCCTCGGTAGAGTGCTGTGGTGTCACAGCTCACAGCAACCTCAAACTCTTGGGCTGAAGCGATTCTCTTGCTTCAGGCCCCCCTGAGTAGCTGGGACTACAGTTGCCTGCTACAAGGCCTGGCTTTTTTTTTTTTTTTTTTTTTTTGTAGTTGTCATTGCTGTTTGGCAGGCCCAGGCCAGGTTCCAACCCTCCAGCTTTGGTGTATATGGTTGGCGCCCCAGCCTGCTGGGCTATAGGCGCCAAGCCCTGCACGTGTTTCTTATTCTTTTGATTACCCAGCAGTCATCACACACCTATTCTGTGCCAGGCACCTGCAATTCAGCAGTGACTAAGAAGGCCAGTCTCTGCCCTCTCAGGGCTTCCAGAGCAGTACAGAGACATAGGGGGTGATCAATAGACAGGTGGGAAGAGGACGGGATATGGTGAGAGGAGGCCTCTCTGCAGGTGTGGCAATGCGACAGAGGAGTTACACTCTTCCACCTTTGAGCTACTGTCTCCTCCTCCCTGAAGCCTTCCCTGCTGTCTCTTACTTGACACTGCCACCTTGACAGACTCTCAGAGCCTGGGGACCACTCCCTCCACGGACGCTTTTGTATTAATTGGCTGATGTTTGTCTCCTTGCATTGGTTGAAAGTACTTTGCAGGCAGGACTCTAATCTCTTCTGGGTGGATGGTAGGCAAAGTGAATAAAAGATGGGTAAGATTTCCCAGAAAAACAGGAGCTTCTCGGCCAGGTGAGGCATCCAGGTGGCAGAAACTTTTCTTTCTCCTTCTGTTGCCTGGGTCCTGGGCTACACACCCCATTTGCTGTTTACAGAAACAAAACAAAGTAAAAGAGACCAGCAGGCCTTATGTGGGAGAGGCCCAACCCAGACTGGCCACTGCAGCACTGAAGCCAGAGGCAGAGCAGACTACTAGGGTGGGTGTCATCCTGGTCTCTGAGCTCAGACTGCCTGTTCCCCTTTCTCCTGTCTCCTTGGTTTCCTTGGTTCTCCCAGTGCTGCTCTGGGAGAAGGTAGTGGTCAGCAGGACTATCAGGGTGGCCAGGGTATAGGACCACAGTGACTGCCTCGCCTCATCCATTTTGGTTTGCCAGGACCAATTCTGGGCAGCATCTCTCTGACCCTGAGTTAGGTCTCTGGGCCAAAACTGCTGTTCCACAGCTCATTGAAACTCTCACCTGAAAAGTAGGAATCTGGCTCAGAGGGATGACTCTTATTTTTATTTCTCGTACTTTCTACACTGTGAATGACTCCGTCCCCTGGCTCCATCAGACTTATGTGCCTGGCACCTTTTCTGTGGCAGATTATGCTCTCACAAATGCCCAGCAAAGCTTTTATCTTATCACACCCCCCACCACCCGACTTCAGGGAACTGAGCTGCTGCCTCGAATGGCTAGAGAGACAGTCTCCATGCTTTATGCAGGCTCTGGCAGGGATGGAATAAAAGCGGTCTCCCCACCCACCCACCCGGCCAGCCAGCCCTCCTGCCGGAATGGCTTTAAAAAAAATTAATTTGCAATGATTTACTCCCTTCTGTTCTGTGGGGATCACCAGTGTTTTAAATATGTATCTAAATCAGCTTCACTGCTTCCAGCTAAACTTCAACTGCCTCTCCTCATGGAGCTGAAAGAGCACTGGATTCAGAATCAGGTGACTCAGAAGTTCAGGCCAAGTTCTGCTAATGATGAGCTGTGTGACCTTGGGCAAATTACTTAACCTCTCTGCTCCCCCATTGGCTCTTCTGGAAACGGAGTTTAACAAGAATCCCTCCCTCACACGGTGTTGTAAGGATTAAATTAGATAACGTTCAGGAAGACCTGTGCAATGCCAGACGTGTTTTCAGTTTCTCAGTACCGGCTGTCCCAATAATTAGACTGGTGACCTTGGGCAGGCCACTCAGCCACCCCTGGCCTCAATTTCCTCAGCTGTAAAGGCACAAGGGTTGTAGTAGGAGATGAGGGCCCAGAGCCCCCTATCCCCGGCCCTGAGCCTCCATTTACCTCAGGCCCTCTGCCAGAAGCTGTCCCCTGGACCACCCCTTTTCCTTTTTCCTTATTATCTGAGCACTTGATTTTAATTGGAGATGCCCCCCTTCCCTGCTCCTCCCCAGTTTTCCCTCCTCTGGCTGGTTCCCTGTGAAGCCTCAGGGTTGCAGCCCTGAGGGACCTGCAGTTCCTGGCTCATTTTCAGGGGCAATTAGCTGTGATGTCACAGGCCTAGGAGGTAGCCTCAGTGGACACCTGGCCAGGCCACCAGGAGGCTAGGACCCTGCTCTGTCTGAGGCCTGCTGGGCTCCCTCAGGTCTGCGGGGGTCTGCACTGCCAGCTGTGGGAGGCAGGGTTCTCAGGCAAAGCCATTTCCATTCCTGTACTTTATGACTCCTTGAAGCCCCAGTCTGAGTGTAAATTAGTTCTACCCTGTGCTTTTGTTGGCAACTGTCGGTTCCTTGGAAGCAAGGGGCTTTGTCAGGAAGAACAAAGCTGTTCGGTGTTTTTCTGATTTGGGGGAAGCATGCTCCTGGGGGAGGGCTCATCGCTTCTCAGTGTCAGTTTTGAGTCCTTGGTTCTCAGACTGGTTGGTTTTGTTTGGGGTTTTTAAGTCCTATGGCTTAAGAGTCACATATGTTTGTGTGTGTGTTGGCTGAGGGATATTTTCCCCTCCTTTTTGGCTTACACAGTGTATTCTGTGGCAGCTAATTCCAGGGACTGAACTTTTCAAATCGTTGCTTCAACAGCTTTTAAAAATCTGGACCTAGTTACTCCTGTCATCCATGTGTAAAGATTTAGAAAAAAAATTCCAAACCCAAGGGTGGGCAGCTTCGAGGATGTACAGCAACGGTGGAGGTACTCATTGTCGACCTGAGGTCAAAGCCGAAATGTCGAGTGCCTCCTGGGAGGGGAAGCATGGTCTGCTCAGTGCCAGACATCTGGATATCGAGAAAACATCTGGGTGGCTGGGGTTTTCAGGTTTCTGCCTGACATTTAATATCACAAACATTGAGCCTGCCTCCCCGCCAGCCACAGGGGCTTCTCCCAAACACACTCCGCCTTCCTGACGGGTAAGAAACATCCATTCTTTCCAATTCCCCAGTGTTTTCCCCCTACCGGAAATCTGATGGGCTTATGACATCATGGCTGGCTGCTGAGCGATGAAGTGGATGCCACAAAGAAATTGGACATATCGGATGGATTCTGAAATCAGTTTCCCTCTGGCTGTAGTAACAGGCGTGAAGTCAGGAGAATTTGAGCTTTGTTTAAAAAATAAAAAACCAAACCAAGTCTTGCCCTTTATTAAATATGGTTTTCTTAAAGACAAGCAAACCTTTTGGACATCATCCTATTTTAATAGAAATACTGGGTTTTATGAAGCAAAAGTGGCTAATAAATGGGACCTGAGGCTTGGGGTGAGCATTCCATTTCTATTGAGTGTTTTGTGTGTCCTCATTCACTAATAAAAGAGGAACTAGGAATGGCTAATCTTTCTTCATTATTCAAATGAGATAGCTTTTTTTTTGGTTGTTTTAGGTCAATAAAATTCACAGGGTAAATTGCTGGTTTATGTTTTTCCAGGAATCCATTTTTATGGAGTGACCTTGGACCTCACCGGTCTGCAGACATTGTATTCCCCTCTCCTGGTTTTCCTGGCAATGAGGCCCTTAGGATGCAGTGAAGCTTTCTGGTCCCTCCAGCTGGTCTCCAGGGGATGTTCAGCACCTGGGGCTGGTGGACCAGGGGCTTCCTGGGATGAAAAACCTCTTTGAGAGGAGAGAGACAGGAGGGGAACAGAAGTAAAAAAGACCAGTGACACAAGCCCCAGGGCAGCCTGGAAGAAAACCCCTTATCTTCCTTCCCAAAAGGTAGCAAAGACCTCAGAAATACGTGTAGCTCATCCCCATAGAACGCTCAGGTTCCAGTTTGTGTGTGTTGTGCCACCCAAATCCCCAGCATGGGCATTTGGAGTCCTAGACCTGGATTAGAGTCCCAGCTGCTCCAGAGACTAGCTCTGGGGCCCTGGACAAGTCATACCACCTTCCACTTTCTTACCACACTGCAATGGGCACTGTGACCCTGTCCTGCCTACCAGGAGAATCAATAGTGCCCAACACTTCACACCATGCCTGGCCACTCTCAGAGGGCACCAGGGTCTCTCTCAGAGCCAGGAGGGACCAGTGTGGATTCTGGAGTTAAATCTGCTGCCTGGCTTTGCATCCTGGCTCTGCCACCTGCTACGTGCATGACTACATTGATTTGTATGACATTTGCTGTGCCTTGGTTTCCCCATTTCTCAAAACCTAATAATAAGAGAACCGACTGCATATATGGGTCTGCTGTGAGGATTGACGGCTTCAGAAGGCCGTGAATGCTCAGCAGGTCTTAGTATTCTGAGAGTGCCCCTAAGCCCAGCAAGCAGGGTGCCAGGTGGGGTCTGGGATGGAGGTGTCATGCTGAGCACAGGTAAAGATAATCAAGGACCAACAAGGAACATCTACTCATCTCTCTGCACAGAACTTTCCATGGCTCCGCACTGCCCAAAGGGAGTAAAACCTCCTTATCTGGGTCCCTGGGCCTCATGCACTGTTCTTCTCCCCCCTTGCTCTGACCATTTCCCCAGGCAGTGGGAGCACACTGCTGTCTCTGGGCACAATGCTGAGGGATGGTAGCTTGCTGGGCACCTGCTGTCATGTTGTCCTGTGCACTGTATATGGATTAGTTATTTCATTCTTGCACGAACTTGTGAAGAGGGGCAGTTATCATTCCTGTTTTGCAGAGGCAAGAATGGAGACCTCAGAGGTTAAGTATCTTGCCCTACATCCCAGAGCCCAGATTGGAACCAGAGCCCTGTACCCACCTCTTTATTTTATTTTTTTTGTCTGGGGCTGAGTTTGAACCTGCCACCTCCCGTATATGGGGCTGGCACCCTACCCTTTTGAGCCACAGGTGCTGCCCCTGCACCCACCTCTTAACTCTGGCTGTGCTAGGCCTTATTCCTTATGTCTCCTGCCTCACCCTGAAGCAGGAGTGGCTGCCTTTCCAGAATGCCCATCCATGTCTGCCAAAACTTACACTACCTTGGCCAAGAGGCCTTCCTGGCTGACCTCCCACAGCATCTTTCAGGAAGTGCTGGCTGCACTGCTTGTGCCCCTCAGGGTATGGCTCTCCATGGTCAGCCCCGGGCTCCTCCTCTACCTTCCCAGGAGCCCAGGAGCTGGAGTGTGGCCACTTTGTGTCCACACAAAGCCCTACAGACCAGGTGAGCAGGTGTTTACCGAGGACCTACTATGTGTAAGACATGGGGACTCATAGGGCAGGTGTCTACAGCCATTCTGGACTTTTCTTCCAAACCCCGGACCTGTTGAGCCAACACCTGCTGCTGCATGCAGCTCCACTCGGATGGCCAGTGGAGTCACAAACTGAACTCCTGAAATTCAGCCCACGCCAGCTGCACCTCAGAGCCATTCCCATCTCACCTCTATTCTCCACTCACTTGCCCAGGCTAGAACCTTGCAATCATCCTTGACCTTTGAGTCTCTCTCTCTTTCATTCTCTGTCTGTCTCATTTGTTCTACTTTCAAAATATATCAGCGGTTTGGCCATTTTCTCCACAACACTGGCCACCACCTGCACTGCCCTCCAGGATGGGTGCAGCAGCTCTTGTAGTGGTCTCCCCTCTTCCTCTCGCCCCCTGAATTCACCCTCCACACAGCAGCCAAAGCGATCCTGTTGGAACTTGACCCAAATCACATATTCCTCTGCCCAGAGCCCTGCAGTGGCTCCCAGCCATTCAGGGTCTACACAGAGCCTGCCTGTGGCCCCGGCTTATTCCCTCCAGAACTCAGCTCCTGCCAGCCCCATTTGTGTCCACTCCTCTTGCTGTCATCACAGTCCCACCTGCTTAAGCCCAGAGCCTCCCTGCCCTTCAGAGCTTTCTGGCTCTCTCACTAGGAAATGGTGTGATGCCAGGACCCAGTGGGATCTGTCAGTGTGCTCTAGGCCACTGATATTGGTTGGGCACCTACTCTGTGCCAGGGCTGTGGGACTCCAAAGTGAGTGAGCATTCTATCTATACCTGCCATGCTCTGGGCAGGCCATGGAAGGAGCGCTGGCTTTAGAGCCCTGGACTGTGATGGGGGCACCCCAGCCCGAGCAGGAATGCTGATGCAGGCACAATCCTGACTCTGCCCCATGTCTTTTTTTTTTTGAGACAGAGCCTCAAGCTATCCCCCTGGGTAGAGTGCCATGGCATCACGCTCACAGCAACCTCCAAATCCTGGGCTCAAGCGAGTCTCCTGCCTCAGCCTCCCAAGCAGCTGAGACCACAGGCGCCCGCCACAGCGCCTGGCCGTTTTTTGGTTGCAGCCGTCATTGTTGTTTGGCGGGCCCGGGCTGGGGATTCGAACCCACCACCTTAGGTGTACGTGGCTGGCACCTTAGCCGCTTGAGCCACAGGCGCCGAGCCTCTGCCCCATGTCTTTGCACATTCTCTTCTCCCTTCTCAACATGCTCTTCTGGTAGACTCCTCTCTACCCTCTGTCTCTCAGGCTTATGTTGCTTCTTCTCTGTGAGGCAGGGCACTATGGCAGGAAAGGCACATGGTTGGGAGTCCAGCAGGCCTGTTTTCAAATCCTGCCCTGTCACCACTGGATCCTGGAGGGGAGAAGAATAAGGGAACCACATGCAAACAGGGAACAGCATAGGCAAAGGCAGGAGGGTATAAGGGTCTAGGAGGGTGGAGCCAGTATCTGGGCAGAGGGGAGGAGGCTGTCCTCCCTGACTCACCAGGCCTTTTTCTCCTGTTCAAGCCTTCATGCCTTTACATCCCTGCTCCTTGGTGTCCCTTGTCAGGGCTTCCCTTAGCTACCCTCAACACTGCTCCTTCCCCAGTGTTCCTGCAGCCCCAAATGCTGCCTCAATTTGAGTAGTCATTGACCTGGGTCATGCAGGTTTCTGTCCTGCCTGAGTATGTTGGTTAGATTCTTGACTCAGATCCTGGCTCTTGCCCTTGCCTGCTGGGCAACGCTGGACAAATTTACTTTACCTCTCTGTTTCTCTACCTGCAGGATGACAGTAGCAGCTCCCAACTCATAGTGCTTTCTAGGGGATTAAATGAGATTGTGCTTATAAAGCAGCAAACCACACTGCCTCAGAAGCCAGCCAGCTGGGACAGACACGTTCATGCACATCACTATGATTTGTGAATCCCTTAAGGGCAAGGCCTCGTGTCTGGTTCCCAGCTCCAGTAAGGCAAAATCAGGGCTCAATGATTGCTTCTGGAATGAAAGGCCAGCCCATTTTGCTCAAATGTGATCTCTAATAAAACTAGCAATAAACTAAACTAAATGTGATCATTTATTGGGTGTGCACCTCGTCTTGTTTAACCCTGACTGTCCTGCGACATGGGAATTATTAGATCCATTTTACAAATAACATTATTGAGGCTTAGACAGATTATACCACCAGCCTGAAATCCAGGAAGGACTTGAGCAGTCAGGTTTTGTGCCTGGATCTGGCTACCTTGGCTGCTGTGTGTTGGTTCAGACCCTGTCCTGTTATGCCCTTGGTTGAATACTCCAGACAGCTCCTTCTCTCTCCTGGGTACCCAACCCTCAGAGTTTCTAGGTTGAGGGGGTGTAGATGTGAGGAACTATGGTGACCTGTCAGCTCATGAGTCCTATGCTCTATAATAGATGTGTGCATGCATACAAGCGCACACATGCACACACCCACAATCATATGTCCCATGCAGCTGACCAGTCCCTCCAGGTTCCCAGAGCCACATCTGACTCTTCTCCACTCAACATGAAGTCCCTGTGTGATGCTGTGATGGGGCTGTCACTGCTTATACATTCTTTGGCCTCGGTCTCCAACCTGTCAGCACCCATGGGTGGGATAGGGCTGGGGACACCCTACCCCCAGCACAGTGTCCCAGGGCGGTGGGGTGTGAAGGGAAGAACAAGCCAGCACTCTCCGCTCTATCTGGTTTGTGTGGAGGCTGAGCAACCTACTGGACCTCTCAGCTCCTTTCTTCATCTGTTCCCACAACCCACCATGCTCATCCTGTCTGGATTAGCCAGGCTGGATTATGAGGGTCAAGTAGAAAAAGGAGTGTGGGGAATTGAAGGGGGATAGGCAGGAGAAAAGGGAAGTGGCTATGACCAGGAGTGGCTGTCAGAGGAATCCTGGCATCTAGGCCTATTGGAGAAGGTGTTAGCAAATGGTCCAGGGCCAAGTCGGGGGTGGGCCAGCCCTGCACTGTCTGCTGGTAAAC